TTCTGCATGTTTATTTAGCCCTCCTCAAATAAATAGTTCACAAGTTTTTGTGGTATATTCCCCAGAGTCCCAGTTGACAGCCTTTTTTTGGCTTTTATGCATACTTGAGTGGACCTTGTGCAACTGGGTAAAAATCCTGACTGGGTTTAGGTGGAGTTGCTTGTGGTATAGATTAGGACAAAACTGGTTTGTTATGGATGTAAAGACTCCAAAATTCATGCAGGATAAGGAAAGAAGTGTATAAAAAKATCTTGGTATTTTGAAAACCTTCTAGCTAATTATTTGGTACCTTGATATTTCCAAATACTGTCTCATTTATAAACCAGAACAGCAAAGATGCTTGCAAATGAGTGAGGCTCATAAAGAAAAGAACTATGACATTTCAGCTCCTCAAGAAATGATGTCTTGTTGAGAGTGTGCGTAAGGATGAACTTAGGGTTAGAAAGCACAGTTTGTAATCGTAACCTGTGATCCTTTTCTTCCTGTACACCAATTTGCTTGTAATTCACTGAATTTCTCCCCTTCTCAGGGGCTATAACAATACAACTTCTACACCTTGAAAAGAAAATGATGAAGCACAATTGTGTTTCTCTTGAAAAGCAGTGTAGTATTCATTTGTTGAGAATCAGTTTGGGATTCATGGACTGAAAGTACCTTTTTTCTTTTCCTTTCTTTTTCTCCTTCCTATAAAGAATATTTGCCGTCCTGACCCTTCTTCCAACTTCCTCATGTTCTAGTTGCTTGTCCATATATAAAGTCTTGGATATGGATATATTTCATGCACTATCTTCAGCTTCTCTGTAATTAATATTCTGTCCTGTCATTTAAGTCCAGTCCCGTGTTCCTAATGTCAAACTGGTTTTGTTCAATATGACCAGCAAGGCAGCATATGTTTCCACATTGAATCCCACTGCCATTTCTGGAGGTATCTCCCATTAATCAAGAAAGCTACTTTGTCATAGTGCAGCTAAAGTTATCACCAAACTTTAAGTATGAAGTTGGAATAATAATGACTCCTCTTTCGTTAAATGGAGTTAACACAGCTGAATAGCTTCCCTGATGGTTTATTATATTGGTCTTTCAGAACACTGACTGATTTGTTTTTATTACCATGAAAGCTTTTGTCTTATGAAAATTACTTGGGACCACAGGTCAATGTTTTTCATGTCACATCTCCCTAAGAAGTACATTGCTTCATTATACTTTGTATTCTGCCACTGCAACCTGTGTGTCACTTAAATTTATTTGTCATGATACCACTGCCAGGCTGCCATTAAATTGTTAAAGGATATTCAGGAAATGTTGTTGCAATAACCTTTAGAGGAAGACATATGGAAATGGACTATATCTGTTAATTAACATTTCGATCTAGAAAACCTTCCAAAGTATAAGGCCTGGTATGGATCACTACACATGAGCAGAATATTTAGAGGGGTGATGGTCATGTTTTCCCTAAGACAACAGGTGCTCCAAGTTCAAAWTGCCTATCTATCTATTTAAACTAGGAGTCTAAACTGTTAAAGAACAAAAATGAAGTCTATAGAAAGATCAAAATAGATGTGTCTCTTCTGTCTGTCCACACCAGCCTTAAAAATAAAATGGCCTATGATGCCTGCCTGTCTCAACAATGTTTAAAAATTGCAGGGGAACAGCAAGCATAAGGGATGCATAGATAAGAAGAAAAGAACCCGTGGGAGAAGCTCCTGAGATGTTTCAGGTTAAGCTGAACCGGGGATCCCAGTCTTGAACACATCACRCTCACCACTGGAGAAGGCACTGACAGAGAATAGGTGGCTGTCTCTGAGCTAACATGCTGTGATGCTGCCAAGACTGGGAATAAAAAATTGGACTGCAGGCAGATAAACTGAAGCTGGGGAGGATTAAGCTTTCCTGCTCCAGACACTGTGATCTCTAACAAAATCTGTATGTTAAGGGATATTATTTGTTCATACTTCAGGGCTGGTCAGAACTCCTGAAGCTAGTGTTCTTMATGCTGATCTCATAGTAATATAAGTACCTAAAGATGACATAATCCAGCACTGTTGAAGAAAGACACTCACTGCTTTTGTGCTTATTAAACTTTCATCCACATTGATTCCCTGACGTGGTGTGTGTGGGGCTGCACAAATCCTCATGGCAGCATAAACTAGCGTAGGAACATGCTGGATTTTTGAAGGTGGCAGAAGCAGGGAACTGTGTGTACCAAAACAGATTTGGAGTTACAGTGGGATCAGTGGTCCCAACAGGCAGCTGCTGACAACATGCAATGGCAATAAAAATAGAGTGAGGTTGAAGCAGGACATGTGCTTGTAGCCCAAGGAAGTATAATGAGGTGAAAATTTATATGGATTAGTGTGATATGTGTGAAAAGCATAATGATAGACAATGAAAGGAAATCCAGAGGCTAGAGAAGACAGAATTGTTTCCTCTGAAAGGATTGATGTTGTCCATCAAACCTGACAGAAACCCCCAATTTTGACCTATCTGACCACACTGTATGTAAGCCAATAGCTGCACAACAATCTGAAGAGCCTAAAAAGGGGAGGTGTCAGTTGAATACAACCTTATTTCCTGTGGACATTAAGGTAACTGGAGGAAATTGAAAATTTGTGGTGAACTCAGACAAAAGACTGATGACTAAATAAATTTTTTTGTACTTCTGTGCTTTTTGTTCCCAAGCATTAGATTTCATAGATGGCACTGTGAATTCTGGTTATGTACATGTGGCATGGGCTAGGTAGCTATGCTCACAGCACCTCTCCAAGCATTAGCTTGTTTTCATTCTTTTGGGTTATTGCCAGGCAGAAACAGTGTAAAACAGGCTGAAGGAGCTTTATAATCAAGCTTAAAATATTCAGAGAATGCAGCTGTGGAATTACATATTTGAGAGGGAAAACTATTGAAAGACCATGAATATAGGAAGCCAATATAATTATTGTTTCCACTGTTCCATTGTTCACTGTGGTCTCACTAGGTGAAAACCAAAACAGAGGCTTTGGGAGAACTGCAGTGTATCTTTCATGTAGGTTGCTTCCCACTACAGTGTATTTCAGCATCRAAAATTACACGTCTGGAAAAGTTCTTTCTACTTAATCTGATGCCTTCATTAGTTATTCTTTTTCATAATTGCCTATAAACTTAGAGCTAACCAGCAAGTCTCAAAATTTCTTGCTTTTTTGAAAGCAGTTTCTATATGAAACAAATGTGGATATCCACAAGTTTTTCTTGAATTTTGGGGTAGCAGTAAACCCCTAACTTGTTTAARTATTTCAAGTTTTCACTTGGCTTGGGTGAAATAAAATGCACTGTAACATAGACATAGAAAAAGAAAAAATGCTTTAAGGAATATTCCAATGCAGTTCACTAACCATTAAGTATTGTTCTACTTTTCTGAGCTTAAATCTCTACTGACATGAATCTTTTATATCCTGCAGTGCAAGTTGTACTACTTGGATAACTAATACAGTTAAAGCAGTGATTTCATTAGACCTGAGAAAGTTTGGAATTGGTTGTGATTGTTGAGCAATTGAGTCTCCACTTTATGCCAGTGGAAAGTTTTTATGTTTTAATAAACAAATATTCTTGAATATATTCCTGAACTTAATTTTAGCCATYACTGATTTAAAAATAGAGAGAAAAAGTAATTTGAAATGTGTTTTTGAGAGACCAGTGTGCAATTTGAAGGTATATTTTTTGTGTAGGAGTACACATTGGTTCCTCTTTTTATCTGTGGCTTTTAATATGAGTTTATTAGCATGGAAATTAGAATGAATGATATTGAATAAGATGCGCAGACAATGATAGAAAAATAAAGGGGAAATGATAGAAATGACAGACAATGATAGAAAAATAAATCTGTTGTGACAGTCACAGAGGCAGTTCTAACAAAACCAAGGCCAAATGTTTTCAATATATGCCAAATTCACCATGCCAAATTCAGCTACTGTCTATGGAAATTATGTGTGCTGAAATACATGGTTTACCTGGAGTAGGACAAAACAAAACTGGTGAACATTGTATTTGTTAAAAAAATATACTTGGAGCCATCCTAGCCCAACACAGGCAAAAAGGACAGGAATTTATTTCGCATAGAACTCCCAAGTTGATACTTCAATGTACTTCATGAGGTTTCTGCTCTCCTACTTCTGAGTTTATTAAGGTCCCTATGTACTGGATTGTGGCTTGGTGTCTGTTGTAGCCATCATTCCCCTAAAATGGACATATGTTAGCCTTGTTTCTGTTCATTAGGGCCCTCCTCTGATTGCTGCAGTTTTTCTCAGGTGATAGGCAGTAACCTCATAGTCATGCTGGACATCTCTGTGGACAAGCAAAGGAGCCCCCTATCCTGAGTATGTCCAGCCTGTAGCAGTTCCTGGACTACTGCTCTCCTGCTGATGGTTGTCCCTCTTCTTTGCAGAAACACAAAGGTCCAGGAGCAGGTTTTGCCTGTGAAGACAAAGGCATGAAATCTAACCTTTCCAGTGCTGGTTCTTCTCTACCCTTCAGCACGCCCATGTTTTCGTTGATCTTTCCTTTGCGGGCTCATGGATCTGTAGAATCCCTCTTTGTGAAGTCTTTGAGAATCAGATGGTTTTGTCTTTCCTGATTTTGTCCCAAAATATTGGTGTAATTGTTTCACTCCCTTTTTTTGCTTTAATTCCTTGTACATTCACTTTTTGCATTTTWGCCATCATCAGTGTCATCAGGCTTCCTGAGCCAGCTGACACTTCTCTTTTTACCTGTTTTTGAGTTGATGGTATTTTGCCTGTTGAAAGTAACATCTTGTGCAATCTTTTTCTCATAAATGGGTAGATTTGAAAAGAGGAAACAGTCTGGAAAAGAGCACTTCAGTATAATCTGTTTGATAAAATCATAATAAAATCCATAATTTATTAACAGAAAATGTCTTTTGCAAAGAATGTTTTACTGCTGTTGATAAACTGAAATAGTTTTTCTTGGTCAACGCTTGTTTATTATTAATCTCTCCCCACTATCCATAGGGAATGAATACCATGTACCCAGACAGCCATAAACCTTCAGCTGCAGACCATTGACGGAAGTCTATAGACCACCAGTTTGGGAAACCTGGGCTCTAAACTCTAAATGATTCAACATTTGTGTAAGTCAGACACATTGTGCTGTTATGTAACTAAATAGTTTTATATCCATGTTCATTGTAATGCTAAGAGGTTCAGACACTCTATGAACTGTTTWTTCTTGCAGATTGTCTCTCTAATAATTAGGTGATAAAATTGAAAGTGTATGTGAAATCTAGATATGTCCTTAAAATGTGCAGGAAAAGCTGTGATCTGTTTGCAGTCTGTTAAAAGGAATTCTTGCTACAGTGACACACTTTGTAGTGGTTACATAGGTTAGTGGTTTGGGGTTTATTTTTGTATGAAACTTCAGGTAAAACAATATTGCTAAACAACGAAGGTCCAATTTTATTGTTATTTAAAGCAAAGCTCAAATATTCTTGTTTAATAATGCAAATGACATATGGAAGATACAGAGTTGACAAACACTCAGAGAATGTTTTATTTTCCTAACCAACTTGAATATTTCAGGCAAAGACAAATACTGGTATTTAAATTTTTACTTCTTCTGTTGCTTTGCCCWTTTTTGCTTTACAGTGAGAGATACTATGGAAATGCTAGATTATTACAAGGGGGAAACAATTTGACTAATATAGGTTGAAGTTTTTTATGAATGGAAACTGAAACATAAGCTGTAGAGAAATCACTTAAGTCATTGCTGAGGTGCATTTGTCTCTGGTAGTGCATAAAAGTTAATTAACAGTGCAGTGAACTGGAGGCAATTCAGAGAGAAACATTATTAGAYGAGGATGTACAGAGAAAGTTAAATGTCTTTCAGTTTACTGACTAAGGATAGATGAATATCTACTAATGTCCRTAACTGACCTTGACAGAAGGAGAGACCATCTGACTGGAGATGTTCCTAGGGATATTTTCACTGTGGGAGTAATAGGATAAAAAAAACAGGTGATCATGTTGTGATGTGAAAGACTAAGGCCTTTTCCATCCTAATGTCTGGCAGCTATTGAGACTGCATCCATATAGCCCCTACATGCAGAAAAGAAAACACTTTTACTGATTGAACACACTCATATAGGGCCACCTAGTGTAAACTGCAATTTTCTGTTGTATATATAGTGACTGAAAGTGGAGAACAGCGAAAGCCACTGAGGACAGGATACTGAATTCCAAACTTGGATAGATTTCAAGACAAGGAAGAGTAGAGCCATTCTTTTGTGTATTTAGAGCTAAACTAGAAACTATTGCTTAGAGGATTTCAAGATCAGTGCTGCTCTCACAAGGAAGTGGACTTAATACTCTGAATCAATCCTTTTAGACTGTATTTCTTGTTATGAGATGATAGATTTTCCTAGTGCCAGCCCTGGACAGGCTCACAAGAGTTATTAACCTCAAACAACTCTTTGCATAGACTTTCCTGATTTTATTCCGGTTATTGCTTTGTTGGGACACTTGTGTATAGAACACTTGGTAGAAAATAGGTGATTAATCTGTGCCTTCTCCTGACATTTTCCTATCCTCAATTTTCGTACTATTTTCAAGATAGATTATGGAATATGGAGTTTGTGAACAGTAACAGGCTACTACTGGTGTGATCAAGGACAACTAGGATTCAAGAAAAACTCAAATTTCCCTTGATTGTATGCCTTCTGCTGTCACTTTCTTCTCTCCCAGATTTTTCAGAAATTTTCCTTGTTATAGGTTCTTCATACATTTTAAATGAATTCCTACATCACTGTCAGAACTGTGGGACTTTGAAGCTTTAGGCCTATTTCTTCTATTCAAATRATAAAATGAAATGGATCTATCTGCATTTTTATTCAGGTTTAGAATAATTAATATTCTAAAATATCATTTCCATTCCATTCRTGATCAGTTAATGATGTCCAGAAGCTCTCTTTTTCTGTTGTTATCCAGAATGAAGGTTTTATAGCACTGCATCTTATTTTGCATATAACAAAGCTGTAAAGAGATGAGCTTGCTCCTTGCTTGTTYGAACTGAACCCTTGTTGTATGCCTCATTGGCTAGCCAGGCATTCAAAGAATTCCCACACAACTTGCTGATGTTTTGATGAGTGACTGAGCTCTGCAGATGAAGTTCCAGGAGAATTCCTGGAAAAGTGAGATCTGTAGCAACTGGAAGCAAAGCTGCAGTAGCTGGATGCTTTCACTTACCCATTGTTCTAGACTCTGTGAGCTGGCAGTCAGTTTGCAAAAGGAAACAGAAATATGTTCTTGAAAATATTTCTGTTCAAATGAATAAAAGGATAGAGTAAAAATAAAACAAGAGTGAGAGACAGGAAGATAGCATGAAAATAGCAATTTGAGTTATTGTCACAAGGGAGTATTACACAYGGCATCACATAATGCATGAGTTAATCATCACAACATTCTCTGGAAGTGAAGCAGAAAAGTACAGAACGTGACAAGAATTATATTCAAATGCAATAAAATCTTATTTGGAAGTTGTTTACAGTTTAAAAAGTAGATCAGTAAATTAAGGGTAGATTAAACTGATTYGTGAAAAATCCAGGAACTTGGCAGAATTCATCCATACAGAGAAATTGATTTGAGGTTGATATATTTTCCTCCATAAGGTTGATTGCAAAAGGCTCCCCCTCACTGGAGACTACTGTGAAACATCCCTTAGGAAAGCAATGCTGGCAAACCAGGCTCACTCACTTACTGAGTGAACTTAGCTCTCTTTGCACCATTCAGGAGTTTTATTTAGAGAAGCGCTGGCAGAGCGTGGTGGCTGCACCATTGCCTGGACTGCAGTAGCATGACAAAATAYCACTAACCTGTGATACCCAAAGCAGATCCTCTCAGCAATGCTCCCCATTGCTACTGATAAGAATATCCTCACTTATGCCCCGACTGGCTTTTCTACCTAGCAGAAAGGGCCAGGTGGGGCTCCCCATGGGATTTCCCATCCTGGTACTAATCTAGAAGTAACCAGGAGAGAGAGAAAAAGAAGGAAAGACAAGATCAATAAAGGAAATTAAGTGAGGAAGGAAAACGTGAAAGGAACAGAGGAAAACCAATTAAAAAAACCAAAACAAAAGAAAGTACAAGAAGGTTAAATTTGCTTCCTGGGCCAGATATATCCCTGGAGCCTCAGCAATGCAGCCCTGACCATAATGGAKATCCTGGTGGAGCTAAGGCATTCCCTGAAACATGACTTTTGAAGTGATACATGATGACATTTTCTAAAAAGCAGCTGTGTGATGAGTGCTATCCAACCTTCCCTGAAAAACTGGGACCTTACAGTTGATATGGGTCATGATGTAGTTATGGGACTTAAATACTAAGAGTTACATATACCCCTGAAATTAATTTGACTGCTGTGTACCAAAATCTAATTCATTTCCTTATCATCTTCCAACCATTAAATTGCTAGAGCTGACTTGTATAAACGCTTTAAAGAAAGTCAACTTCTAGTCACCAAGGAATATTGCAGAAAATTTGCCTTCCGAGCRTGGTTATGTAACGCCCACTTATTTTAATTAGACTTTAGCTCTCCAAGTCCCACTTTACCTAAGTGGCATGATCACTGAAACACAGTAGAGATCTGTGATAGCTAATGCAATCTATCTGCTTCTTTCAGCAGTGGCTTCTCCTTTAATATGATGTCTCTCAGGCATGTGAGCCCCAAGCAGCTACTTGCAGTGTTGTCTATTATTAGTGTTACTCAAAAATGGGTCTTGTTCTCCAGCAGAAGTGCAAGAAATGTCTGTGTAAGCACTGCATAGCTTTAATTCTCCTACAGAAGAGTGGTCCTCAGGGAGGAAAATCAAATAAACAGCAGCCTAAACTGTACTCCAGGTAGCTGAAAACCAGGAACAGGACCAAACCCAATTACTCACAAAGTGATGCTGATGTTAGTCTTTTGTCAGGAAGATGCACCAAGCAGAGATGAGGTTTTTATAAGTAAGTTCCAACTAATTAAAGGTTTCCCTTCCTTCCATTCTTACTTGAAATTTTTACTGTAATAAAGGCTTTGGCAAGCATGAAAAAGGTATCATGATTGCAGCCATTAACTCCTCTAACCCCACAGCCAGCTACCTCTTCTTCCTATATTTTTTGTGATGTGTCCTGTTGCAGAACATGGAGACCCAGCTGGCCAGGCATGGAATCAATAAAATTTCAGTATACAAACCAAAAAAGAAAGACAAATTGTACATTCGTCATATCCTAAAAGGGTGATTTGTGTATATAGTTGGCAACAATCCCTTTCTAGGTTTTGGTTCAGTATTCTTGCACTTCTAACTGAGCAGACAAAACAATTTGTTTCCATGTAATCATGGCAAGTCTACAGGAAATTCCTGATAATTGTGCTATGCTTTGTTATGATGATGAATTACTGCATATGTTTCTGCCATACTCATTAGTCTTACTTTGCAGTCTTCACCCTGCGTGTGCACTGAGATAAATTGGACATTGAGACTAAAAGGCAGTGTCTTCATGAACCAGATTATTTTAAGGTCACCTTTTTTATCTTGCTTTTTGACATCAGATGCTCCTTCAAATATGAAAGTGAGAGACATCATGTTTTTTTCTCTCGCTGTCTGATTTAGAGACTGAATACTTTATAGAACATGCCATCCTGTAGCAAAAAGGCAGGAACTAATTCYAAGAATAAGTACTGTAGAAAAACAAACAAAAAATACAATCCTACATTTAGATAAAACAGTCTTGGAGCAAAAAGGAAGAGTGAGCTCTGCCTGGATAGAAGAGATATAGCTGATAAAAATTCAGGAGTATATAGATTGGTAGGGGAATTTGAATAAACCTGTTTAGGGAAAGAGAATAAGAAGGTAATAATCAAATGATACAACCCATAGTGAGCATTTGCAGCAGCTTGTTTTACTGAGTGGATTGTTTACTTCTCAGAGCAGTCACTGCAGTCAAGCAGGAAAAGAAATGCAGTCGAGCATCTGCTACACGTCCTCTTTCTCTCAGTGGACTCTACAGTTTTTGCCAGACATGACGCACACACACAAGAGGCATGTAGGGAAGAAGCTCAAAGAACTTGCTCTAAAAGAATAGCTAACACCAAATGATA